AGCACAATAATATACAGTTACTCCATTTGGAAAATAGCAACTTCGATACGATACGTCTCAAGTTTTTGGCACACCCTGTACAACATGCAAATATTTTATAAATGTAGCACTGATAGGTCTCAATATTCATCCGAAAAGAATCTCAAGAAATCAAATGCTATATATAGCCGCACAATGCTTCGTTATGAATAACGTGAATAACTCTGTATATAACCTACATTAAATCATTGACATAAACAAAAATAATCTGGCTTAATTATATTGGATCATACCAAACCATTTTTATAATTTTTTTACAATTATAAGATCTTGAGCAGTTGACAAAGAACGCACAAAATCTGAATCAAATTATCCTGAAGATGCCTGAATCATTCTATGTATTGTTCAACAATATATAACAATATATATATGGGAAAATGATATAACCATATTCAGTTTCAGTTTTTAGTGTTATGAAGTACACCTAACGGTGAACAAAATCCGTGCATGAGTTTGATGTTACGTCACTGACCGAATACTGATTTTGACAGTAATTTTTATGTTTTCAACGTTCTTTCAGTAAATCTTTAGCTATATATGATATATGTTTCTTGAAGTCTTATTTATTTTCAACTTTCTGAATTTTCAACTCACCAAAGTGGATACGAAACAGTTCTCAGAAAACAGTTGCTGATGGATTCAGCTAAATAGTAACGGAGTATGATGAAAAATTATGTGGCTATTGATTAATCTTCAACTGCCAAATTCAACACCAAGCATTTCGAAGACGAGTATCATGTAATTTGAACATATTTCGTGTAATCGTCCTATTTTGAATTTAAAATTGAGGATCAGAATTTTTTTGAGTGGAAATTATTATAGGATGGAAGATTGGTTCGAATGGACACTTGTGAATGTATTTTGAAACCGAATAATAGAAGTACTATAAAAAATTATGTCAGTGCCTGATGAGAGTCAATTCATGATAATATAACGAGGAGGTATGTTGAATAAAGTCGCCCAGCTGTATAGTTCTTTGAAGCACAAATGCCACAAATAATGAGTTATTATTTTGTTTACTCATAGCCGATATGGAATCTAGTTAGTAACAACTGTAAAATATTTGATGGGTTCATTGAAAAGAATCATTACCTACTGATGATATTTTATTATGACAATTTTATGTATATTACTACCAACCTATATATCTCTAATGTACCGGTCAGTGTGTAATAAAATTAATATAAATAAAACAATTCACCTCCATATTATATAGAATCAGAATAATATCTCCGATGGATGAAATATGATGACATCCTTTGGAACAGACACAGAGAAATCAATCAGTGTTTCAGTTGGGGTCACTTTTGTTATACCAAAACAGATGCATCACTTTCAGCTGTCAATGAGATAGCGGACCAGATATTTCTTCGAATACATTTCGTATTGCGAAACCCATCTGTTTTTCCAATGGTCCACACTATTAACACCTCGGGGTAGTTTTCAATAAGAATCGATGTGTAAAGAAAGAGCTTCCGATAGGAATTCACTCATCTGTTAGTAAACCGATTACTTGAGACCTTTCCACGATTCTGGCAACAGAGAGGCCCAATTGTGTTGATAAATTGAAAATGGTGTGAAGACTGATTTTATTGTTGAAGTAACTCTGAATTTCTCCATAATAAAGGGATGGAAAAGATGATTATTAGTTTAACTATACTCTGTGATACGATAAATAGATATTATAAGATATAAGTATTCTATATTACATATAGATTTCATATTATTGCATCGGCTTCGTTGGAGATGTTGGTTCGGATGTATTTATATTCTAAGATATTCAATTTGGCCAAATCTCTTATTGTATAGCCAACATCTTATATTCTAGAAGATATACTTATTGAATGTGCTTATTGAAGAATAGCATTAGTGATAAAATTATCAACTGGTGTCATGTGAAAAAAACGTCTGATTTCTATCAAGAAAAATCACATCCAAATTTTTGGAAAACATTGCAAACTGGTACAATTGTCAATTTCTCCAAAATCAACTGAAGCAAAAATACACATTTTTATTCAAATATAAGATGATAGTTCTGTCAATATTTCTTAGTAATATTTTTCATGCATATGGATGGATGAACAAGACGTGATATCTGGAAATTCAGTTTTAATTATATAGATAATTATCTTATTATATTTTTTCAAGAATGGACAAAACGTGATATGTAAAAATTCAGATGGAATTAATTCCACTCTTCACTTGGGAAACATTGTTGAGCATAAAAAATTACTGAATTGACGAGAAACAGTTATTCATTATACAAGGGAAAAAAGTAGTAGATTTTAGCTCCATCAGGCTGGGTCGAGGGCTGGGTTGGGACAAAAAACCGTGAGCTAAAATCTAATATTTTTCCCGTGTATAATACACTATTTTTTCCTGTGACAGAAGGAAGGACGGATAAATATTGAGAAGATATTACATTATTTTGAAATCTGAAAATTATCGACGTAAGCTTTTAACAGTAGGGACACCTGCGTTGTAGGCATCATTATCATTATTTTAAAGTAATCAAATACCTGATGTCACTACTGTCAGTCTAATTCTGTGATTTGATTTCGAAAAATTGCGGATTTAGTGGTTGTTTAGTTACGTAACCGCGAAGACTAGTCGAATGGAAGATAATAGGACTTGCGCAGTGCTTTCTCGGAGACGGTATTATTGACTCATTTTTCGGAACTATATAGCACAACAAAAACCATCAACAGTGTATATATATGTGATATATATCCGGGAAAAAAGTACTCACTTTTTTCCACAAAAAAAAATTAATGAAAAGTGACATTTTATAATCTGCCAACAGAGATGAAATGCCAAACGTTTTTCCCGTCACAAAAAAAGCCATATATTATTCTATATTTTAGAAAAATATGATATGGTTCACGTGAACAGAATAAATTACCCCTTCTAGAATTTTTAGTAAGATAGCTCAGTTATAGAGCATGCACCATTTCCAAATGAATGCAACTTATACAGGGTTTTTCATAATATATGCGCATCAGGAAATATAAAAACAAGCTGGAATTGTTTTACGCTCTAAAATGGACCATTTAGGAGATTCAGGGCGTTGAAATTAATTGGTGAAGATTTTGAAGGGGTATATAGTGGGTTGTTTCCTCCCCAACTTTTATATTTTATACGCCACTGAAAAAATTACAGTTTCAAGCCCCTTTTTTTGCTGCGTGCATTGAAGCTAATGGCGGACATTTCCAACAATTGCAATTATCAAGTTGATGTTTGGTTTTGTTACTTAATTTAACGTTGACATAAATTCTGTTTATTAAGTAAAATAACATTTATTTCAGAAAATTTACCATGTTTTTCAACATAAAAAATATTTTTTCTCGAGAACGGTAACTTTTAGAGCTTATGACCAAGAGTGCCTTTTTTGTGAAAGAAACATTGGCGGTTCGACTGGGTGGCTCGAAACTGTACATATCACAGTGGCGTAGAAGTTGGGGAGAGGTATTTTTGGTATATATCTCCCGCTTCTCCGAATTTCAGAATCTCATTACGTGAGAAACAGTGGTGCTTCCATTAGAATAGAGATGAGCTGTATGAAAAAATATCTAAATGATGAAAGTTAATAGAGACAACTGGAACTATTGGGCGTTCTATTTCTAGCGGAAAATATACTTCACAATAATTGGCATCAGGCATTCTTCTTAGTTGCTTTGATATTGACGATTTATATCATCCTCCTATACAGGGTTGATTGCTAAAAATATACGGGATCAACCTCTTATAACTTTCGAGGTATAGGGAGTTAACAACTAATCCATCTCTATATAATTGATGAAAGAAATTTTTTGACAACGTGATACCTACTCGTCGTGATTTTTTTTCTAAATACAATATTGATGGCCAACTAGTTCAAAATAAGTTCGTTATACCACACATGCATGAAAATGGTTTTTATTCTTTCTATACGCAAAAATGGTCCGTCGAACAGACAGGTGGTTATTTATTGCAAAATAAATGAGGATTTCAAAAATTATTTCTATTGCCTGAAAAAGCGGGGGATATTCGTCAGAAAAATCTCTATTATAGTTATGTGAGTGCCATACGGCCGCCACTGTTAGGAATATTAAACATTCCCCTGTATCAAAGAATGCCTATTGGTGCTTAGTAAAGTAAATGCATTTCGAATTTGATGAAAATATCTATAGAACAGAAATGAAGTTATTATACAAGACAATGGATTTCTTGTTGAAATTTTAACAGCCTTATCAACTTTATCCTATATTTGAACCCATCGAATGAATAATAAATTATACTCTGTATATTCGTGTTAATAATGATGTGGACATAGAGCATTTTTCCTATAATATTCTGCCAAAGGAATGTTCTCTGCATAAATAATACTAGCTTTGATGATGTCTTCAAAAGAAGCGCCCGAACACCAATCAACTTTTCTAGCCATTAAAATACTAGGTCTATAGTTATATTAGGTTAAATGATATTGCCCATAAGAATTATATTTTGAGAGACCTTATATATATATAGAGCACTTCACTCGATGATTTAACATCAGCTTTAATATTGTACTATCGATACCTGTTCGAGACTAGGTACTTACCTCTTTCAAGTTGATATATTTATAATTTATATTTATTTTGATAACAATCATCAATAAGATAAGGAAATAAAAATCAGGAAAGCTGAAAACATACAAGTTGCTTGTCAGTTACGGTTCATTTATTAGTTTAAATTTTCTGTCCCTGATGATTATCATTAAATAAAGTAATCTAATTCTGTCAAGAACTGATGATTTCGATTCAGGGGATACTGAATAATATGGTGCCTACAAAAAATTTAAAATTTTAGATTTCATAAAATCTGCAGATTTCAATTGGTGATAATCTGATATATAATACACAAGAAGTTTCTATATACCTATTCAAGTTCAACTTTCTTCGTTGGATTAGGTATATGTATATATCAACTATATCCCATCGTGGTTACGCTAGTGATCGACTACTTGCATCCACCATTTCCTGATTATCCATAAACTCTGCAATTTCTGAAAACCATAACTCATCAATGTTCAGAGATCCTTGACTGGAAGTCAGCAGCACACTTTCCAAGTCGTTTCCCCACGTTTTTTCTTCCGTCATAAGGTTTTCGGGAAGTTTTCGCCTGATTTCCCTCCGCAGGCGAGTTATATCGTCTAATATTATCTGGAGGAAATTTTCTTCGGGAATAATAAATGATAATTGGAAAAGAGCTCCACTTGATCTCTATACGTATACCAAAAGATAACGTGATACGTTGAATTTTTTTAAAGTCTTTCTGACGGACTATACGATGAGGGTGGCCTTCGTTTGTATCCACTGTCAACTAAATTTTGTATAACAATGTTATTGAACTTGTTACCATTATGTAATGAAACGACTTTTCCTTTAGAAATATGGAGAATACGATTACTACAAGAGTAAAAACATTTCTTGATAAATAATCATTTTTCTCGTAAAAAAATTGAGAACCCCTCAGAATGCTCTGAAAAACATTTCAACGGGTGAGGGTAGTTGCAATCTTTTTACAATTTCTTCTGGGTTTCTTTGAACATTATAGGGATTCCCTTTCGTGCGCTTCAAGCGATAAAAAAAAAGCACTCTTGTCAAATTCGATTGAATATATTACACTCATTCCTGAACAGCCAACAAACATGTGTTTTTTATGTAAACTTTGAACTCCTTCTATAGACAAACGGTACATTTTAATATATAAATGAACTGGGTCCAATCGATTCATTACCAAAAGATAACGTGATACGTTGAATTTTTTTAAAGTCTTTCTGACGGACTATACGATGAGGGTGGCCTTCGTTTGTATATCCACTGTCAACTAAATTTTGTATAACAATGTTATTGAACTTGATACCATTATGTAATGAAACGACTTTTCCTTTGGAAATTTGGAGAATACGATGTTTCTATACTACAAGAGTAAAAACATTTCTTGATAAATAATCTTTTTTCTCGTAAAAAAATTGAGAACCCCTCAGAATGCTCTGAAAAACATTTCAGGAGGTGAGGGTAGTTCCAATCTTTTTACAATTTCTTCTGGGTTCCTTTGATTACTGAAAGGAGAGTAATGCACTTTTGTCGAATTCAATTAAATATATTACACTCATTCCTGAACAGCCAAAAAACATGTGTTTTTTTTGTGCACTTTGAACTCCTTCATAGACAAACGGTACATTTCAATATGTAAATGAACTTGGTCTAATCGATTCATCAGTCATCTTGACCTCTTTCAGCTGTTAGTTTTGTTTCGCAGCAACGTTGGCACACCCTGAATATTATTATGAAGTGAAAATAATTTGAAGTGAGACGATCTTCCTCCATACTTGTTGTCAATATCCACTTGAACACTATGGACTAGCTGGTCTATTCCCTGACAACAAGTTACCGGAGGCGGAGATCTGTAAGAATTTTTTCAAATAATTCCACTCACATCTCACATCATTCCCCCGGAAATAATATGAGAAAATTTTCTCCTTTTTGATTGATTTGACATTTTTGTCATCGAAATGCCCTTGGTGGAAGGTTGAGGAAGGAAAATTGCCTTAATTCCTGCATAAGCATGAGAGAGGAAACTACTATTCCTTATTCCTATATAAAATCTAACCACATTCGGCCTAAATGAACCTCCTTCCTATAAAGTATATTTTTCGGAAATTTACTTGAGAGAATTGAGAGGACTTCTGTTTCTAAACAACCTAACCTGGCTCGGCATAAATGAACCTTCTTTGCATCATTACAGGGAATGCCTGAAACTATTAAGCAAACGGTGTAAGAAATTTAGATTGTCTGTTTGCCGTCAATACGTGCAATGACTATAGGATAGGCATTTCAGAGAATGACGGATTTCACCCTTGACGCCGACATTATATTCATCAAGTTCTGCATAAAAAAAAGTACAATGATGCTACAGAATTTCTCTTCAACTTGTTGCCATCAGGCACTTTAGACAAGAGAGCCCAAAGTGCTAGAATTGAATTATTTCATTGATGACATTATCACTACAAAAATTATTTATATATACATTGAAACAATGTCACAGAAATCCATTCGGCTATTCCGAACTCTTGTTTTAGAGACCTGATCAGAATGTGAATATAATCGACACCTCTGATGATGTCATATCATTGTATTTCTATGAGATCAAATAATGAAAGTAACAACTTCCAAACCTTCTTTCGGGTGCTTCGTTTTCTATATTAATCAAGTATAATTGACGAAAAATGACAATGCATTTAACAAATTGCACTCAATTTGATAGTAACTATACTGCCAACCAGAAGCTCAACATTCCTAACCGTTTTCAAGTGGAATATGGTGAATACAGATGTTCAGAATGACCCACACGTGATCATGAAACTTCATTTTTTAACGAAATTTGTGTTTCATTTATAACATCATTGCGGCAAGTTCCTACATTATTTAATTGTCTCCTTCAATCATGGAATGTAATCATACTATAATACACAACTCGTGCTAGTATTATTTTTGTAGGAGATATTCGTCAATTGACAGACTCCATCAGCTTCACTGGTGACTTAATTTCGTTACCTCGTTATCATAACAACAATTGTAGCAGATTGTCACACTAAATACAATTCGGGCTGAGATTATTTGCCTGATATTTCATATTTTGGTTGTCTCCTCGAAACAACCATACAAAATTTCAGCTGAATCTGAGTGGTATTTTTTGAATTCCGAGTAGTTCACTACAAAAGCCATCATGAATATAATTTCGAGCAATTTCATATGTTTCAAACAGATTTCACAAAATGTTTGTAATTATTTATTTTGATGACCGTTCAACGTGGCGCACACTTTTTACTATAGGCCATTTATCTCTTTCACGCTGATGCATATATCATGTCCCTTCAGACCCTTTATACAATCATACTGTCTATTCGTTTCTGTTCCGCCCTTCGTCATTAACTCTCATATAAGTATCATGAAATGATGAATATAGACGTAAGTGAAATCTATTATAATCCAATATCTCAATAAACAATAGCCAAACGACGTACCTATAGATACACATAATGAGAGCTATATATCGATAAAATCCTATTCTTGTTCAATCGAAAGTGCGACTCGAACATTATATTAATGCATCCCTTGTATAACTTCTCATCATATTCTATCCATCATGATATACAATATTCTATCCAAACATTCTCGAAGAATATTTGCATTCCGGTTTTTCATTTAAGAAAAGCCAATGTGTCTGCTGTGACTCGAATTCTCTGATCTGATTTTGCTCAGCAGGCTGAGATATCAATCATATAGGCTGTTCATATCGAAGATTGAGAAGTAATTAAATGAAACATTTTCTGGAAAACCGCTGATCATTTAAATCTCAGATATTGTATGTAAAAACAACTTCACAAACGAATAAACGATGAGATCTCCACAAAATGTTTAATCAAACGACATGTTTCGCTAACACACTAACTTCATATCAGGTGAAATACTGGTACAATGAAAAAAAAACCAGGATACCGATTGTCTACATTAGTCGAGACATTAGGATATACACTATATTCTGTACATATTATGTTCACCTTAATCTCTGAGTATTCACACTCTATAACATGAAAATCGAATCTGAAGGGAATCATTTTCAACTTTGATCTCTGATAATAAGTACTATTATTGTTATATTTGAGCATACGGTGCCATCTATTAGCTCTCTAATAAACGTATATCGATTGACCTAGTTCCTTGACGCAGTGGAAATATATTATCATCAGGTTACCTGTGCAAGTGTGCAGGTGCTTTCTACAGCAACATGAAGGTAGAACATCAACTTCCGCCACTACGATAAAGATGGCGACACTTGGATGTTATTTTACTGTTATTTCACAACTGATGATCTTACTACATGTTGTGTAATCCCATGTCCATGTAAATTGTCAAATATTTCTCATATCTATAATTTCTTCAACAAATATGAGCATGGATGGGCCAGCTATTTTAGGTAATGGATATGATAAATCATATCCACGAAACATAATGTTCATGTCAACAAAGCTCAGCAACAAGAAATTCTCAAAATTTGTAATAGAACATTACACATACAAAAACCAAGAAATCTAGAATACTGAAAATATTTCGATAAATAATTAGAAAATCTATATCTTGGATCGCATGGAATGGAAGTTTTATAATATGTTCATTGAAAATCGTGGAATATAATACTTACATCAATGGTCATTGGAATTATGTCACTGGTGGTGACTAAGTTATTTCATCTCTTGGAGCACAGCACGAAAGGGAATCCCTGAAATGTTCGAAGAACATCGTGCGTATACTTATTAGGGAGAATAGGAAGAGAAAGTAAGCAAATATTTGGAGATTTGAAGGGTTTCTGTTGATAAACACCCTTCAAATATCCTAATATTCGTTAACACTGCTAACATTGAATAGTTCATTCATTTCGATATTTGAATGATTCCTGGAGACAAAGGTTTCATCATTTTCATTTTCGAAACAAAATTTTATGGAAGAATTTTTGCCTTGCAATTATCAATCTTCATCTGAAAGAAGTCCATAGTCATTAAACCATTAAAAGAAAACTAACATCAACTTCAGAACAACGTATCTTTTGTCAATTTCTTTCAAAAACTCTCATTCTCGCCTTTTCCCGCTATATCTTATTCAACCCGAGAAATCGTGTTTCTTCACTACTGGTCACGACGTGTATGACGATTTTATAGATGAAAAACTCATCATGAATAGGGAACATGTATTTCTAATGGTAAAACCACGGTATATAGATGACAATTATCGCCTTCCTTCCTCATTTCCATCGATACTGAAGTATCTCGGAAACTAATACAGCTTGGCTCAGGAAAATGTATTCTGATATACCTTAGTAGGTATATAACAAGGGGACGCTTTCGTGACTGTTCTATATATAATAATATTCTTGGAAATATCAGTGGGATGCAGTCTGGACCAATGAATTAATTAGATTTCTTCGTTATTTGTCGAGCTTTCGAAAATTTTTATTTTCTTTATCAAGACTAACTGAAAACATCGAATGGAACAATAATATTAAAATATAAATGTACATCAATTGAAATTGGTATACTTACAAACATGAAATTCTATATAAAATTAGCACAAAAAGGAAACATAGGTGTATAAATAAAATG